ATGAAAAGATCAATTAAACATTTTCAATATTGCAGTTTTTTTTTATTAAACTTAAGCACAATTTTCAAAAACAGTACACACAAGCAGCACAACCACACACCCAATTAGCAAAGCACTACAGATCCTTTGTATATTTAAACACTCTTGTAAAAACTACTACTTTTTATTTTAGTGCACTGAAAAAAAATATTTAAAGATGATTCCTTGGATTTACTCAATTTGTTTACGTTAAGTGGTTCTAAACGATTTATTTGTGTTGAATTTAAACAAACAAATTAAGTTGAACATTATTAAATTTAATTTGTTTGTTTAAATTCAACACATATAAATTGTTTGCAACAATTCTGCATGCAACACTTTTTTCAGTGGTAGGCAATCCAGAAACACTGTAAAACATGTATATGTAGTAGGGCTGTGCAATTAATCGAAAATCCAATTTCGATTATGGCTTCTAACGATTATGAAAAACCATTAATCGAGATAAACAATTATTCCAATATTTACCGCCCCCTTTCCTTGTCCTCACTTGTTGCTCTTAAAAGTGCGAAAGACTGCATGCTTATGTGTGTGCGGCGCGCAGACAGTCAGAAGCATGCGGTCTGCTCTTGGTCTCATTCCACACATTGTGAGCACACACATCTAGTCATTAACATTTGCACTTTAATGTTCAAATAGGTGTCAAAACGCGGTGTTTAGCGATTATTCATAACCCTCATTTTGTAATAAACAAACAAGTTGAGGATCAAAAGACACGTGAAAGCGAAACCATTAAAGTGACAGTGCGAAATGCTGCCTGTTTTATCATGATTAATAAAACATCGAGAAAATTCCTCTCTACTCTTGACTGAAGACTTTTGTAGCTAAAGTGTTTTTCTTACAGTGAAGATGCTTAAAGCAAAGTTTGTTTCATATTTTTATTCTATTGTATTTATTTCTCTTTCCTTTGCAGGGTGGAAAATAACTGTATATATGCAGTTAAAAGTCAGAATTATTAGCCCTCCTGAATATTAGCAACCCTTTTTCCTCCCCAATTTCTGTTTAATGGAAAGAAGATTTCTGAACATAATAGCTTTAATCATTCATTTCTAATAACCGATTCTTTTTTTCTTTGCTATGATGACAGCTCAGAATATTTTAGTAGATATTTTTTTTTAAATACAAACATTCAAATTCAAAGTGTGATTCAAAAGCTTAAAGGTGCATTAGGTGATCTGCCAAAATGCTAACCGCTTAGCACAGGGGTGTCAAACTCAATTCCTGGAGGGCCGAAGCCCTGCACAGTTTAGTTCCAACCCTGCTCCAACACACTTACCTGTAGGTTTCAAACAAGCCTGAAGGACTCGATTAGTTTGATCAGGTGTGTTTAATTAGGGTTGGAACTAAACTGTGCAGAGCTGCGGCCCTTTAGGAACTGAGTTTGACACCTGTGGCTTAGCATATTATCTTTGGACGGCGGGGAGGAACTGTGATTCAAAGCCACACCCCCTGATATCGCGAGGACCGCGTCACACCAGCAGACAGACAACCCACTAGTTCATGTCATTCGCCAGTTAGTTAGTGTTTAGTTAGTGCCAGCGCCGAGCAGGAATTACATGCATTACTTTGCCACACTTGCATGCTATTTCAGAACGAATATTCAGAGTAGCATGTTAAACAGTAGAGGAAGGCTGTCATTGTTCAAAAATGACCCAATGTGAATATAAAAGCAACCTCAGCTCAATAAAGCAGGTTAGGTGGAATAGCGCTATTTACTGATGTTTTGTTGTTAAACTAAATATAAATCTACATTATAGATGCTGTAAAAGAACCTTATGAAACTGAAAATAATCACATCAATCTTTCACTGGCTGAACAACACGTCTGTGCATATAAGTCATTCATAACAGAACACAATATAACATCAGCTTAGCCCAGGGGTCAGCAACCCGCGGCTTTAGAGCCGCATGCGGCTCTTTAGCGCTGCCCTTGTGGCTCCCTGGAGCTTTTTCAAAAATGTTTGAAAATGGGAAAAGATGGGGGAGGTTAATATATTTTTTTGTTTTAATATGATTTCTATAGGTGGACAAACATTTTTAACGTTTTCAAATGCTGTCAAAGTGTGTAGAATTAATATTTAATTTCAACATTTCTGTCAACGAAGATTTGCGTCATAGCCTGCGACACACGTTTCTATCAGCAGGGCGGGATGCCAGGCAAGTGGCTGTTGTAAACAAACCAGGAGATTATAAAGCATGGAAAACTGTTCAAAGATGGTATGACATATTAGAACACCTATTTGCAAACTTTAAAAACAAAACCAAGATAATACAAAAAAATAAAGATATACCTTTCTCCACTAAGACAGTGAAGGAAAGGGCTATTAAAATGGTAGGTAACATCACCGATTAGCAAACCAAGGACATTAATTCAGTGCCAGCATACTCAATTGCCTGTGATGTGACCGATATTCAACGCGCTTTTATGCAGGTATGTGAACTCTGATGGGCCGCAAGAAGAAATGATCGAATGAATAACACTAAAAGACAAGAGGCTGTGCGGAAGTGTTTTAATGACAACAAAATAAACACCAACCACCTGATTTCAGTGGCTATTTAATCATGAAGGCTCATTATGTATTTGTAGCCAATTTAGTCATTTTGATAGTTGGCTAATATAGCTAATATAGATACATACAGCATGTGTTTCCTTCATTATAAGGCTTATATAAGGCTTTACATTTTTTGTGGCTCCAGACATATTTGTTTTTTGTTATTTTTGGTCCAATATGGCTCTTTCAACATTTTGGGTTGCCGACCCCTGGCTTAGCCTGACTGAAATAGTTTCAAAACAGAACATGACCTGTCTAACAGTAATACTTCAGCCATGGTGTCGTCCTTTCTCCAGCGTGCTAAAGTAACTCCAATACTGATTCAGGATTTTTTAAAGTTTCAATGCAGCATTTGATTTCTCCCGGTCCGTCTCGTGACCGCGCGGCCGCTTTAAGAGCGAATTGTACCCGCGCCTGGCTTTACAGTAATCGGCCCGAGATCGGCTGTCCTCCGGCTCCGACTCGGCATCTGCGAGCAGCCCGCAGCTCGCTCGCGCGCATGCGTTTGTGAAGCAGACGGGCACGCGCTAATGGCGGATCTGCGTGAACACATGCGCAGAAGTCGGAATCTACATTTGTTGACAGACAGTCTGAGCTGCCTATCGGAATTAAGGGAGATGACGGTCCGACTCTATTTAATTGGATGAACATTTTTTAGTTTTATGCCTTACCCAGAATATAAAAATACATATAAACACATTTAGATCATTTACTGTCATCATTACTATTAGACTGTGAAGAGACTTTCAACCAGCACAACAACAAATGTTTCTGAAGACAATCACCTACTGCACCTTCAATTAGGGTAATTAGGCAAGTCATTATATAACAGTAACGTAGACTAACCATATTCCGTACACAACGATGTTCCGTACAGATGACCTTTTAACGTTAATCTCTGAATAAATACTTATGGGTCATAGGCAAGCTATATATCTGTGTAATCTTTAATTCTCACTCTTTCAGCCCCAACCACAACAGAGACATTCCTACAATATGTTTCCGCGTAAAATCAGTAAGTTTGCTACGTCCACCTAATGCGCTTGAAAATAGAAAGTGGGCAAGCTTAAAGTGCGAGTGTCGCCTGGAAGGGGAGACATTTAAAGCCCCGACAACATGCTCTTGCTTTTAATTTATGCATCACACTGTATTACAGTTCTTATGAAGTGAATATTATGTTATCACAAATTGTTAAAAAAATTATCTTTTGTTGAATAAAGGCAGGGCCGGAGTGGGACTCCTTTTCAGCCCTGGAGTTTCAAGCCTCAGACCGGCCCACCTCAGTTCACGACTGACTATATTAAAATAAGATCATTTCCAATTCAGTTGCTAATTACACTATCACGTCTTTTTTTTTTTTTTTTGAGAAAACAGCTGCTTTAGAACTTCAAATGTTCAACAACCCTAACAGTACTATATGTCTTAACAATAAAAATGAAAACAATAAATTACTCTAACGAGGATCGAACCCGGGTCCGCTGAGTTTTAATCTAGCGTGCTAACCGCTGGACCACGACAGCTGTGTACGTTACGGAGACACAACTATGTTTTATCATCATTAAAATAGAAGAGTTGCGATAAAATAATGAATAAAAAGGCTGTGGTCAAGTAAATAAATACATTTAAAAGGTGTGACTACTGAGAGCAACAGATTCTGGAGCTAGGGACACCGGCCCTCACGGCCAAAAAACGGATCGGCCCACCGGGAATTCTCCCGGTCCTCCCGATTAGCCAATCCGGGCCTGAATAAAGGCTTTTTAAACATCAATTGTGGGTAAATACCGCATGTCGCAACTCTCCGCCTGAGAGACAGGCTGCAAACGCTGTTTGGATCCTCCTTTTGCAGTAATGATGTTTATATTGATAAAAGGTCAGTCAAGTTAGCTTCAATGTGCATGAATTTAATGTTTTAATATTTTAAATTGTCATGTTGTAATAAAATAAACATGATATAAAAAGTAAATGATTTTGAAGCTAATTCATTTAAAACTTTCATAAAAGAGTTGTTTAATATATCATTAACTTCAAGTTAAACACAATAATAGTATATTCTGACATAAGATTTTAATAAGACTTCAAACAATGCCCATTTTTGCCGAAATTAAAGTTATGCGCCCTGTACCCTGTACGGAACACTATTTTAGTCGTGTACGGAACATCGTTAATACCTATCATCTTCCGTACACATTAAAAAAAACAATCTCTGGAGCGCTAATAATTTGACTTCAACTAATAATCGTTTGGAATAATCGTGATTACAATTTTGACCAAAGTAATCGTGATTATGATTTTTCCCAAAATCGAGCAGCCCTAAAATGTAGCATGTTATATTCAATGTTATCATTAGTATTTTGCTTAAAAATAAAAACAATTTCTCAATATTTTCTTCTTCAATATTGTCTGTTGTGTGCAGGTTCAGATGGGGCACTGGCACCAGAGAGAGGATGCTCATTAAAGTATCAGATCGGGAGCCTAGTTTTCTGACGCAGGGAAACGGATACTCCAGCTCGTCCCCGCGCTCGAGACGCTCATCCAGCAATGCTCCTCCAGACTCAGACACCACCTCGGACCGTCCTGCAGCGCAGTCTCCTTTCCTGAAGAGGGCAGAGTTGAGCGGCACCCAACGGCGCTGTTCGGGAGACTCCCAGCCGTCCTCGCCTCGCTACGCTTATGAGCCTCCTCTCTACGAGGAACCACCCTCAGAATTCCAAGCTCCGCCCATTTACGAGGAACCACCCACTGACATGCACTGCGACCCCGCCTTTTTTGGCACGGATCGTTCTCCGGCACGAAAACCAGGTCTTTATTGTTCCCCGAAACAAAGCCCGTCTCCTTATGGACAACTGGTGCTGACGAGACAGCGTAGCTCTACGCCGGATAAAACCACCAATCAGAGTGACTACAGCTCCAGTGGGCGGGATTATAGCTCTAGTGGACGGGATTATAGCTCTAGTGGGCGTGACTACAGCTCCAGTGGGCGGGACTACAGCTCAGGCATTAGAGATTACAGCTCCTCTGGTGGCCGGGATTATAACTCGAGTGGGCGGGAGTATAGCGCTGCTGGGCGGGAATATGTTAAGCAGCTTGTTTATGTGGAGCAGTCTGGCTCCTCCCCTCGGTTTCGGACCACAGATCGTCTGATGAGCTACGGGACCAGTTCTAATAGCCTATCGGCTGGATTTTCGTACGGCGGGTCTTTCACGCTGCAGCATAGCCACGATCTTAATGGTGGCAATCGAAAACGGAAGAACAGGAAGCCGTCTTTGCCAGGCGGTGAAGGGGATGGAATGGGGGCGGGACTCGGGGCAATGATTACTCAAGCCCGATTGGCTTGGGAGGCTCAGCAGATGTTACATCATCGAGGGGGCGTGGCTTCTGAATCAGGAGCTAAAGATGGGTATGAATAGGCTTATTTTTTAAGATTTTATCAGGGTATACAGTTTTGTTTCTGACAGTATGATAGCCTTAGATTACAAATATCACGGTATGACTTAGCATATTTGCATTGACTTAGCATATTTGCATTTATTTGGATTTATATAATTATTTTGTTATTATTAAATATTGCGTATTATTATGGTGATTGTGACGTCATCGGTAGGTATGAAAGTGACGGAGCGTCTCCGCTGCCGCTGCCGGGGCCGGTGGTCCGGGCATTCAGTGAGGATGAGGCGCTGGCGCAGCAGGAGATCCACTGGAAACGGGCCACGCTGGACAGACTGGCATTCCCTCAGACGCTACTGGAGAAGAGTCTGTCTGTGCAGACCAACCTGGCATCACCCGAACCTTACCTCCATCCCTCTCAGGTAAAGCACAGTACGCTGGTTTCCCAACCCTGCTCTCCTTGTGTTGGGGTGGGTTTCCTAGGGTGCTCCGGTTTCCCCCACAGTCCAAACACATGTGCTATAGGTGAATTGGCCGTAGTGTATGAGTGTGTGTGTGAATGAGTGTGTATGGATGTTTCCCAGTACTGAGTTTCAGCCGGGAGCGCATCCGCTGTGTAAAACATATGCTGGAATAGTTGGCGGTTCATTCCGCTGTGGCGACCCCTGATAAATAAGCCAAAAGAAAATGAATGAATGAGGTATTGTGAGATTAGTAGCATGAATCATGTCTATTTGTGAGCTGAGTGAGTCACTGCTTACTGAAATGCAATAAAAAGTTTTGCGTTTGAGTTGTGGAGGTGGTGTTTTTGGGGACACGCTGGCACTTCAGGTCATTAATGAGCTGGAATGGTGCGATGGTGTTTTGTGGGCAACGTCTGAACTCTTTCAGCACAATATAATGAGCATTTAAATGTCCTGAACCGCTGGGTAAACGCTGCCAGCTGGGTTAATTGGGACGGATGACCTTTAGACGCCTGTTACCCGACCAGTGATATCTTTGTTCTGGGGGATACTGGGCTGAGCTGATCTCACAGGCTAAATTGTGCCAGTGTTTCCTTGGAGGGGTTTTTTTTTTTGGTTCTGCTCTGTTTGCTTATAATGATGGAGACAGACAGCAGGCCTGGGAGGAACCGCTGTGAGAAACAGAGACACAAACTGTCTTTGCTTATATCAAACATACTGTACTGTTAAAGTCGAAATTATTTATCCTCCTGTGATTTTTTTTCATATATATATTTCCTAAATGATGTTGAACAGATTCAGGAATTTTTCACAGTATTTCCTATAATATTATTTATTCCAGTCTTATTTATGTTATTTCGGCTATAATAAAAGCAGTGTTTAATTATTTAAAAAGCCCTTTTAAGGTCAATATTATTCGCCCCCTTAAGCAATATTTGCTTTGGATTGTCTACAGAACATCGGTGACACGATTACTTTGAAAACCTGCAGTCTAAACTCGGCATTAGTCGACAGTAAGCTGGCCTGGTTGGCTGAAGTGTGTAACTGTGAGCAGATGTACCTCCGGTTATGTATTACACCGTGTCCAGAAATATAGACCTGTAACGAGGAGCCTGACACGGAGGGATCCATTTGCGGTATGTTTATTAAACACAGTTCAAACACAATCATACAATACGCACATACGTGCGAACTCACATCAGTAGTTTTCAGTATGGGTCTAAGGGCTAGCGGCTGGTTGTCAAGGAGTGATATATTAGGCATGGATCAGTGGCAGGCGGCGTGGTTCAGAGTCGGAATATCAGGCGTGGTTCAGGGCAGGCGGCGTGGATCAGAGTCAGAGTACAAGCAAGGTTCAGGGCAGGCAGAAGGCAACACAAGGTCGGTAACAGTCCAGGTAATACACGGGAGATCAGGCAAGGAGATAACGCTCAGAAATCTCAGACAGGGCAGAACAAGACTTCGCAACGGACTGAGTGTGTGTGCTGCTTATATGTGTGAGCGTGGGTCGTTAGCGGGATGAGCTGCAGGTGTGTGTGCTTATCAGTTTATGTGGATGACGTAATGCTAGAAGTCCGGTGATGGTGGCCTCTGCTGGCCAGCGAGGGGAATGACTGCGACCGAGTCTGTGACAAGACCAGGGGCCTCATGTACGAAGACTTGCGTTGAATTCATACTAAAACATTGCGTACGGACTAAGCTGTAAATGTGCGTACGCAGTTAAAAATTCACAAGTATGAAACACTGCGTACTTAGTTTAATCCCACGCATATTCTCTCTGTACATCCGACCTAACGTGAAACTGAGTGCATGTGCACGAGCCCTACCTGCTTCCTCCCCTTAATAAACATGGTAATGACTCCACTTTGGCAAAACCAAACAAAAATGCAACAGCAAAAGCAACCAAGGAGAGAAACTTTGAACAGAATGTGAATTGGAGGTGGTCCTATCGAAGGTAGACCGGAGGAAAACTGTGTTAGAATTAATAAACAAAAGAAAAAAAAAAGAAGGGGAGAGTTTAGCTGACACCGTTAACGCAGTGGAGTCTGAACTGGAGATCTGCGTGGGACTTTTAAATCCCGCTCCCCGGCAGGTTTTAGCCCGAACCCAACCGCTCCCGCTTATATTCAACATTTGTTGTCCTGCTGCCCGCCCCGTTTTCTACCCACCGTGCCTGTTTCCACTAAGGGGCAAGAGGGGGGGGACAAAACTGAAAACCACCCAGCTATACAGAGTCCAGACAGCCTACAACAAGCTGCCTGTATAAACACACACACACATCGACACACAGCACCAAGCAAGTGACACACACACACACACACACACACACACAGGCAAGCACGTGCGCGCACACACACATACACACAGACAGCACAAAGCTCTCTCTCTCATTCGCACACACACACACACAGACAGCAACATAGACGCAGCATCTTGCACTCTCATTCACACACATACATACGCGTGCTCGCTCGCTCGGGAGTCAGGAACGATACTGTAAGAATGCCCGTTCCCGTCCAAAATTACACCAGTTAGCGACCGCTCCTGCGCTTTATTCAGAAATTTATTCCCGCACCGCAAGAAATCTAGTCGGGTCCTGCGGTACAGCCGAGGGAATGCAGACCTCTAGTGTGAACATCACACTGTGAGTGAATTAAACAAGAAATGGTCCAATGTAAAGGTTTGAAATGAGCTAGTTGAGTGATTCCCGTCCATCACCGATTTTTTTTTTTTGACAGAGGCAGCATAACTAAAGAGAGCGGTAAACAGCAGCGTGAGTGGCGTAGCTCTTAAAGCGCATGGCAACATGTTTTGACACGATCGAGCATGAACCCGGATTGAATCCAGCGTCTGATGAACTCATTCTTCTTTTTTCCCCCGCTGCATATCAGATTTTGCCTACTCTTCATCATGAGGAACACAAGTAGGAATCATTAATAAGTGTGTGTATTATGTTGAGCGCATTGAGCACCTCATATTATTTGCACATTTATTGAATGGAAATGTTTCTGATTCACGTCTGCAAATTCATCTTCAGATGGCGCCTTTATAGCACTGTGCGTGCAGTAGATCGCTCCCATTACATTGGGAAAACCGGCGATCTCTGCAAATTGCGCTTTAATGTTTGGCTGGTCAACTGCACGGTATGGAAACCTTATATACCTGCTAGACATGCGGATGATCTATTCTCATACAGCTGCCATTGCACGGCTCAAAGATACTTTGTAGTGTGCGATTTAACACAACTGCCTCTAGGAGTCGCCACTGGAAATAAAACAAACACACAGGAAATGTACGTACACCAGACTAGGGGCCCTATCATACACCCGGCGCAGTGTGGCGCAAGGCGTGGCGCAATAGTCTTTTGGTAGTTTCAGCTTGGCGCAAGAGTGGTTTTGAGGCGTTGCGCTACGCTGTTTAAATAGCAAATGCATTAGCGCTCATATGTGCGCTCATAGGCGTTCTGCTCTAAAAAGGAAGGCGTTCTGAGGCGGACCGCTGGCGCGTTGCTGTTTTGAGAAACTATAATAGATTTTTCATTAGACCAAAACAAACCCGGTCTAAACTCTGCCGAATATCTTTATATATGAAAAAATGTAAATATTAAGGATATATATAGGATATAATAAGAATAGATATAGAATATAAATATAAAGGATTAAAATATTACAAAACATTATTTTCTAGCCTACATAAATATGAAAAATCACTGCTTTTATGTCTTCTTCATCTCGGGAGGCTTTTTCAGTTCATTCATAACAATTAGCTTTTGTATAATGTTATTATTATTAGCAGTATTATTTATTATATCCATATTTATATTTGTTTTATTAAAAACAAGCTTAGATTTGTCCACCTGTCAGGTTTTAGACCATAAGGGGCACAGCATGTGTTTTAAGATATAACTTTTGAGCTCATTTTGTTATTATTGTTCATTTATTCATTTGCTGGAAATTAGAACTGAATTTAGAAATAGTTTTGAAACTAATATTTGCGCTTAACAAACAAAATTAATTATTTATAGACTAATTGATGTCTGTGCGTAAAGGTTTCCCTATCCAAGAGCGAAAGTGAAAGTGATCCATTATCTCTCATTCTCACGCAGTAGATGCTCTGTTTAACTGTTTGCTTGTGAAATGCTCAGTTTTTCCACTTAGACTTACTTTGCATCCTGTAAATAGCGAATTCGCTCTTGGCGTGACGCAGCTGGCTCTTAAAGGGAATGGGAGATGAGACTCTAATTGGTTTATTCTCAAAACACACCTATAACTCATTAAGAAAAGAAACTCAACCCTTTTAGACCATGCGCCACTGCGCAAGGCAGATATTCCGTCCTTAAATTAGCAAAAATGCGTTCTGACACGCCCCGAAAGCGTTTGCGCCCTGCGTTATTTGCTCTGCGCATGGACCGTCAAAATAGAGCCCATGAAGTTGGCGTGGCTCAACGCACATTCTCACGTTTATTTCATCGTTAGTAAATCCAAACGTGAGCGTGAAACCTGGCGTACGCAGAGACTTTGTGTGTACACAGCGTTGATACATGAGGCCCCTGGGTTGTTAGAATTATGCATGACTATCATGATTTACTCTTTAGATATTGGCCGGTATAAGAATCTGATGGTATAACCTTGGATGAAAATATCACATTATGAAAGCGCTATGATTTCTGCTCTAATATATGTGAAGTTTTTAAACTAATTTCGAGAGGAGCACGTGATATAATTGACTGCAGCTGGCCACCTATCTACACTCATTAGTTAGCCAATCAGATCTGTCCTAACTCACTATAAGTAGCCTAGCTAGATATTACTCCCTTACCTTCATTTTCCGAAGAAACCCCCCATCCACCCCCTTTCTCCTCCTTTCCTCCTTTAAAAAGGGGAGCTGTCGAGAACCACCTGATCTCGTACTCCCCTCACATGCTCTATGGACCTGGCAGGAGCCCTGGGCTCAACTATCTCCGAGCTCAGGGTTCTCTCCCGGGACAGCATGCCAAACCTGCTTACAGTTGTCAAGCAATATCTAAGTGTGAACTCTTGAAGCTCTTTTTAAAAGTCTGGGGGAAAAAAACAGCAACTTTTATCCCAGATTAAACACAATATATTTCGTTTTAAGACGCACTTTTGGAGCAGTAAACATGTCAGGCTAATTAATTTAAATAAATCTTTGACTTCTGCTGTGTTCATTACTTTAAAAAAACACAGACTTGAAAAATATAATAAATAAAGCACTTGTGAAAATACACATAAAACACACACACACACACAGGAATGCTATAGCAAAAAATATGAGCTTTTTTAAAACCCTGACTTTTCCAAACCGCGGTAAACCTTGAGCCCGGTGTTCGTTTACTGAAACAACCTTGCTCCCAGCCCTTCGGTGTTTGAGTTATGATGTTATTTTTGATTTCCAGTGATTTATGGGAAGCTAACAGGCTGTGTGTGCTCTGGTTTGTGGAGCAGAACGTCTCTTCGTGCAGACACGCCCTGCTGGAAGAGCATCAATATTTCAGCATGTGCAGTTTTAAGAGTGCTTGCGCTTATGTAAGGCATCATGTCAGAGTCACACACGCACCGACAGCAGCTCCAGATGCCGGACGTGAACATACTCTAAAGGATGCTGAGCTGTTTGAAAGCAATGTTGGGTCAAATATGGAAAAAAAAAGTGAATAAAAACATGAATCACAAAATACAGAAAGCTGCTAATTTATGGATATGTTGACAATATAGTGTCTCTCAACATGACTAGTAAACTATTATGTGCTGTCATTACAGCAACGACAAACTAAATTAGTTATTAGTAATGAGTTATTAATTATGTCAAAATATTCTCTTTGCACTTTGACAAAGACTTTAAATATAGCGAAGCAGTAGATCTACAGAGGAGTGAAGGAGAGGATGGAGAGGTAGAGGAGAGGAAAAGTGCGTGACTCATTTATTAATGTGCTGATGAACATGGCCTGCGGACGTGAGGCTTTCACAGCACAGCAGACAAACTGACACTCAATAATAATCACACGTGCGAACTCTCAGTGCGGTATGGTGGCTGAGAGAGCACAATCTGCTGCAAATTAAGGGTGCTGGATGTCATTTTCTAACTCCTTTAAAGCATATAAATATCATAATATGTGTGCAGATATTTCAGAAACATCCTCAGAACATTCTTGTTTATCCGAGAAACAATGCTGAAGTCAGATATTCTGCTTTGAGGATGTGCATTACGTGCCTTACGTGCATTACAGCTGTCTTTGTTTTGGTCATTTAACCCGCCCACTGCCAGTTATATTTCAGCATCCTGGGGTCCGTTCTTCGTACGTGGATTACTCAGTTAGCTGGATTTGGTTATTGACGATTTGACACGATCCAGGATCGTTTCGTTCTTCAAAGCTGATCCGAGAGTTGTTGTCATAGCAACAGTTCTGCTTGGTCAAACCTGATCGGGAGCAGGTTCAATTCATATAAACAGGATTAGATCGGGTCAGTTCAAGCAAAGATAATAGAGAAAGTATGTACTGAATGCTGATATTTTCTTACAGTAGTAGTTATATACACTTGGGAAAATGGTACATATTTTTAAACTATATATATAAAGTTATAGTCATTAATAAAATAAATAAAGTTATACATATTAATAAAACTTATGCAATCTGCACCCTCGAAATGAAAGTACAAAGACTGCCACATGGTGTTGCAAAGAGAAAACTTATTGATATGAACTTTTTAGATCGCTTTAGTACAAATTGTGTATAATAGAAATGCACAATATCCGACTTTTTTTTTAAAAGCAATAATACATTTATGCAGTCATAAACATGTTTTGATAGTTAATATGCCGGTGATTTGATGCTTCACAAAAGTTGCAGACGCCTTTACCAATATCAAAATGCTTTTGTAAACAACCAGTTATTCTTTACACCGATTAAAAAACGGCAACTATAATAAAGAAAATCTTTTCTAAATGTGGAACTAAATACATTGATATGCATTGAAATACATGATGAGTACTCTTGACACATGAAAGTGTAAAGCCTGCAGCTCACAACAAATGTGGAAGGTTATTGCGTGTCATATTTAACAAACGGTTTACTGCTAATTTGATGTAATTTTGCTTACATGGTTAATTGAATATTAATCAGATGATGTCATTACGCTGCTGTGCCGTCAGCCAATCGTTGCATTGCTGATCATGATTTCGAGGATTGATAGATCTGTCCTTCACAACACACGCAGCGATCTCAGATCAGTTTATCCAGACATTCTGATCTGATTCGCGAACTTGTTTGAAGAACCAAATTAGTTATCCAGATTAAAAGATCCAGGATCTGTCAAATCATCTTAGACCCTTTAAGCGAGGTACGAAGAACGGACCCCAGGTTGCCTTGGTGGAAAACAGCGTATTTCATTCAGTCAGTCAGGGGCTGTTTCTCAATTCCAAGAACGCAGACTTGTGTTCTTGTGGAGACCGGTCTTGCCAGGTGTTCTCGGAAGAACGAACTCAGGAGACCGCGAGGGCAGAGAACGCGTCCTTTGAGAAATGGGATGCTGCGTTCTACCTGATGGTCATGTGACCTTCACGCGTTTTTAATGGAAATGATTTAAACATTACAGCCTTCATACAACCATTTATTGTCCCCCCCCCCCCTCTTCAAAATATATACTTTGCATAAAACATTATAAATAAACTCTGCACAATATAAATAAAACTGATTTTAATAGGAATTTCAGCAAACAAACAATCCTTAGGGGCCTATCATACACCCGGCGCCTGGCTTACACACTACACACAAGATGCAGAGCAATACGCAAATATCTTTACATATGAAATATATATAATATATTAAGGATATATATATATATATATATATAATAAGGATATATACAGGATATAAATATAAATGATTAAAATATTACAAAACATATTAATTTCTAGCCTACATGAAGATTTAAAATTCACTGCCTTATTTTCGTTATCTCGGGAGGCTTTTTTTATTATTTAATTTGCTTTTGTATAATGTTATTATTATTAGCAGTATTATTTATTATATCCATATTTATATTTGTTTTATTAAAAACAAGCTGAGATTTGTCCACCTGTCAAATTTTAGACCATATGGGGCATGGCAGGTGTATTTGGAAATAACTCAGTATTTTGACCACACTTTGTTATTATTGTTCATTTATTCATTTGCTAGAAATTAGAACTGAATTTAGAAATAGTTTTGAAATAAATATTTGCGCTTAACAAACAAAATTAATTATTTATAGGCTAATTGATGTCTGTGCGGTAAGGTTTCCCTATCCACGAGAGCAAGAGCGAAAGTGAACTTACTTTACGTCGAAATGCGCTTATGGCGCGACGCAGCTGGCTCTTAAAGGGAAGGCGAGATGAGATTCTAATTGGTTTATTCTCAAAACACACCTATAACTCATTAAGAAAATAAACTCAACCCTTTTAGACCATGTGCCACGGCGCAAAGCAGATTTTCCTGTCCTTAAATTAGCAAAAACGCGTCCTGACACGACCTGAAAGCGTTTGCGCCCTGCGTTTTGCGTTCTGCGCATAGACCGTCAAAATAGAGCCCTTAATGTGTTTATTCCTTTATTAAGATATTCATATTAATGTTTACTTTCACCGTTTCATTTAGGGAAACTCCTGAGGTAAATAAGTTAAGTCTCTGAACTTTAATAATAAATCTAGATAAAATGCAGCGCTTCCCACCTCCAGTCGCAATGACTTCTGGGACTTCCAGAGCGAGTTCGGTGCTCAAGTCTGCATCAGTGCGTCCTCGATATCAAGATCACATCCGGGAAGTTTCACGCGTCCTCCGTACTTGCGGTCTTGAGTATTGGAACTGAACTTAGGCAGCTGATGATGACGTTACACGAGAACACGAGGACGCAAGACCGCTGAAGAACGCATATTGAGAAACAGCCACTAAGACTCTTAAAGCATGCATCTGTGACTGAAACGCGACCTCCGGTGGACAGTAGCAGACTCTAAAATGAGACGCAGATTCAGAGTTGCACATGAGGTTATTGATTAGCAAATAATATAAATATTAGTATCTTTTTTTGTATTTATTTTCTTCTGGAGAAAGTCTTATTTGTTTTATTTAGGCTTGAATAAAAGCAGTTTTTTAATTAATTTAATTTTAAGGTCAATATTATTAGCCGCCTTAAGCAATCCTAGTTTTGGATTGTCTCCAGAACAAACCACTGTTATACAATGACTTGCCTAATTACCCTAACTTTACCCTAGTTAACCTAGTTAAGCCTTTAATGTCTCTTTAAGCTGAATACTAGTGTCTTGAAGAATATCTAGTCCAATATTATGTACTATCATCATGTCAAAGAGTAAATAAGTCAGTTATTAGAAATGAGTTATTAAAACTATCCTAAAATGTGTGCGTCTTCTCAATGTTAAAGAGAAATTGCAGAAAATAATATACAGGAGGACTAACAATTCTGACTTTAACTGTATGTTTGTTGAAGCTTCCACAGCAGGAGACCAGCTGAATCCTTTGACAGTTCACATTAGTGTAATTGCCTGAGGGAGGTATTTGTGCTGTTTTGTTGTCATGATTTGACTCATTTCCTCTGCGTGCTCCTCTTGACCGACCCTGGGGCGCTTCAATATCTGTACTTCCTCTGTTCGACATCGTCATACAATGTTTTCTTTCTTTCCCAGTCGGAGGATCTGGGAGCATGTTCTCAGTTCGAGGCCAGCCGAAACGCCCGAAACATGATGCCCAGTGCCAGCTGCGGCATTTTCCCAGAGTTCACGCTTCGCAAGCCATCCTCGGAGACGGACATCGAGAACTGGGCATCCAAACACTTCAATAAGCACACGCAGGTACACACTCACCATCACCAGTATTATACACAACATCCGTTTAACCCTATAAAAGGGCCAAAGGGGACACTCGTATTGTGTTATGCAGAAAAAATCCCCGTAGCAAGAAAACAAGGGTCCGTTGGAAAATATGCATGATTTATATATATATTCCTAACATCCCCTCATCAATTATCCCTTACATGAAAACAATGCTATTTTCAGGGTCTGTTCAGGAGGAAAGTGTCCATCGCCAACATGCTGGCCTGGAGCAGCGAGCCCATCAAGAAGCCCATGATCATGACCTCTGACCGGACGGTGAAGCGTGAAGCCGTTGATCTCTTCAAGCTCATCCAGACCTACATGGGGGACCGGCGGGCCAAAGCGGATCCGCTGGCGGTAGCTCTGGAGGTGGCGGTCCGGGGCTGGAGCTGCCAGGGCCTGAGGGATGAGCTCTACATCCAGCTCTGCAGACAAACCACCGAGAACTTCCGCTACGACAGTCTGCAGAGGGGCTGGGAGCTCATGGCCATCTGTCTGGCCTTCTTCCCGCCGACACCTCGCTTCCACAACTACCTGGAGGGCTACATCTACAGACACATGGACCCGCTGAATGACACCAAGGGTACGACACTCTTCACTGCAAACAAACACAGGGGTGTAGCTAGACATGGACTTCTACTGAGTCACAGGACCCACCATTATGCTTATAAAAGTAAAAAATATAAAATAGTATACTAACTAACCTATCCATTTACCTTCGGCTTACCCTGATTTATCAGGGGTCACAACAGCAGAGTGAACTGCCAATTACTCTGCCATATATATTTTATGTGACAGATGCCCTTTCAGCTGCAACAAACTGACTAACTACTTACCTAACAAACTAACTAACACTAACTAGCTACCTACCTAACAAACAAACTCTGTAATTAAATAACAGACTGACTGACCGACTGAATAACTGACTGACTAACAAACTAACTCACAATCTAACTTACCGCCAAACAAACAATCTAACTATCTATCTAACAAACTAACTGACTAACTGACTGACTGACTGACGAACTACCCGCCAAAGAAACTAACTACTTACCTACCTAAAAAACTAACTGACTAACTGATAGTGATTAACTAAATGTATTACTAACAATTGACTGACAGACTGATTGACTAACTGACTAACTAACTAACTAACAAACTGACTGACTGGCTGACAAAAAAAACTAGCAAACTAACTAACTATCTAACAAACTAAGTACCTAACAAACTAACTAACTACATACCTAACAAACAAACTGACTAACTAACTAACTAACTAACTAACTAACTAACTGCTTACCTAACGAGTTAACCGAAGAACTAACTAATGAACTAACTAACTAACTGACTAACTGATCAAATACCTACCTAACAAACTAAGTGACTGGCCAACTAACTAACTAATTAACTAACTAACTAAATGACTGACTGACTGACTAACTACTTACCTAACAAACTAACTACCTACCTAACAAACTAACTGACTAACTACCTACCTAACAATCTAACTCACTTAAAAGTAACTGACTGACTGACTGGCGAACTAAAAACTAACTATCTAACAAACTAACTTACCGAACTATCTCACCAAACAAACAATCTAACTATCTACCTAACAAACTAGCTGATTAGACTGACAAATTAGCTGACTGACTAACTGACTAACTATCTAACTAAAAAAATGAACTACCTACCTAACAAACTAACTGACTAAATAACTGACTGATTAGCTAACAGACTGAATAACTAACTGACTATCTAATAAACTAACTCACAAACTAACTTACTGCCAAATAAACAATCTAACTATTTACCTTACAATCTAATTGACCAACTAACTCACTGACTGACTGACCAAATACCCATCTAACAAACGAACTAACTAGCTATGTAACAAAATAACTGACTAACTGATAGACTGACTAACTAACTAACCAGCCATCTAACTAACTAACTGACTGACTGACTGGCTGACTTACTAACTGACTAACTACTTATCTAGCGAACTAGCTGACTAACTACCCACCTAACAAACTAACTACCTATCTAACAAACTGACTGACTAACTAATCGACTGACTAACTAACTAACTGACTGACTGACTGACTGAATAACTAAATAATTAACTGATCTTACAAGCTAAGTCACAAACTAACTTACTGCCAAACAAACTAACTCTGTTTGTGTGTGTGCATTTTCAGAAGTTCAGGTTCTTTACACTGTACAGTTTTTTGTTTATAGAAGAAGATCATTATATTAAATGTTTATTTTATATTAGTGAAAAAATGTTTGAACTCAAAGAAACTGTAACAAGCTTATATTTAGATAGATTCTATGTGAAAACTGTGATACTATAAAATCAAGAAAATTCCCACTGTAATTATGATTACGCTACTAAAACACTGAAGATGGTTTAAATGTAGTATTAAATGTAATGTTCAGTCTCTGATGTCTGCTTGTTTGTGTGTTGCAGGAGTGGCGATAAGCAGCTATGCAAAATACTGTTACCGTAAACTCCAGAAAGCTGCCCTCTCCGGAGCCAAGAAGGTAAGGGACTGTCATCTCCCATAGGAATTTGTAATAAATTTGACGAATAATTATCTTTATATAGATTATATTTTTTGGGGTCAAGCATAGTTCACCCAAAACTGAACAATTATTTACTACAAACTGCACGTTTATTGATTGTGCACAGTATATTCAAAGAAAAAGAGTTTTTTTCATTTGTTGTGTACTTATTGAATTTTGAATGATGTCTCTTGTGTCTGGTTCACATGTGCAGTGTTTAGACTCTTAATATCTGCAGTTGGTGAACGTGTTAATTGGCTGTGAAGTGGTGTAAGGCCTGTTTAGTTTGCCTATTAATGTGTTTATACTACATGTCTGTCGAATGCTTGATTCTGATTGGCTGATGAGCATTCTAAGGTTTATTTCCAGAAACTTTACACTCTCTGTTCCTAAAAAAATATGATAATAATAAATACAACAAAAAATGTGTTGCTTTAAACTTCATATGATTTTTACCACGGTCTGTTGAATGCTAGTAAACTAATTACATACCTAACAAACTAACTGACTGAAAATCAAACTAACATACTAACTACCTAACAAACTAACATACTAACTACCTAACAAACTAACATACTAACTATCTAACAAACTAACTACCTACCTTACAAACTAAATGGCTACTTAACTAACTGACAGACTATCTAACAAACTCACAATCTAACTTACTGCCTAACAAACAGGGGGGGGGGGGGTGATCACTGATCGCACGGGCATTCCTGACAAAAAGCTTGTGTTTGTGTTTGTGTGTACAGAACTGTACTATTCACCCTCCCTGTTAAATTTGATCTAATCCGTGTCCTGAAACACAGCTCCTCTCCTGCTTTCACTTCTCATACTGACGGAGGGAGCGATTCGTTCGTAAATGAATCTCCGTTATGAACGACTCCTTCACTAGCCGACAATAATACAAGTTTCTAGCAGCGCAGTATCTCATTATCATATTTCTCTTGCATTGTTTGCTGATTTCCTTCAACAAAACTAGCATAAGCCGAGTGTTTAGTGTGAGTTGGAGCTGCTTTGCCTTATGATGAATGCAGTAAGTGACTGTATTACGCGGGGAATCCTTCACAAACTGCGGAGCGATCACAAACCAAAAGTGGCTAGAGCGTCAAAGTAGCCAGAAGTCTTTCATTTTTAACAAGAACCGGCGGCGAGAAACAGTGACGCGTCTTCATTGGCTATGACTGGCAGCTGTGCATAATTTTCCAATAATGCAATGGTTTGTCATTGATCATTCCTTAGTCTGTTGGCCTGCAGACATTGAGCTGTTTCCTGATGATCTTCAGTGATCATCTTCACACTTGTGTTCCTGATGAGTCTGTGAAAACCCTCTCCATGTGTGAAAGCCTGTGGAGATTTTGCTGCGTGTGAAAATGGGCAGAAAGAGTGAGATTGTGTGTAAATGTGTGTTTAAGCCAGACGCGCAGCAGGGTAAAGCTTCAAACATGGCTCCGCTCCAACACCTAGTGTGCTCCCTACTTAGGCAGCATTCAGAGCATCTCAATTTGCTCACAAAGGCTGGTCCAGACATTAATTTATGGTGCATATAGCTTATTTAACGTATGAAAATAGCAACAAATCACATCCGATGCACTGTATTGTGCCAGGTGTATGATAGGGCCCATCATCTGATATCATTTGCGTTATTATTAACTCTTTCATTAAAGTTTTCATGGTGAAAGAAATACTTGAAGGTTTATTTTGGAGATGCAAAATGTATCTGCAAGTCTAGAATCACCCATATAAGTTTCTTCATCTGTGTGTGTGTGTGTGTGTGTGTGTGTGTGTAGGGTCTGAAGAAGCCATCGGTGGAGGAAATCGCGTACGCTCGTAACGCCATCTTCCGGCCGTCGATGTTCGGCTCTTCTCTGGAGGAGGTGATGGCGATGCAGAAGGAGCGATACCCCGACCAGCAGCTGCCCTGGGTGCAGACGCGCCTCTCTGAGGAGGTGCTGGGACTCAACGGAGACCAGACGGAGGGCATCTTCAGGTCAGACACATTCACAGACAAACACACACACATGAAGATGAGCATGAAGGATGATCTCTGAGTGGCGGTTTCTACAATTAAACCAAGAATAGGTTTGTGTTGTGCCCACCTGTCTCATTAAGTGAGATTAATTTTAAATTACAGTAATGAATAAATTATATTGTAATGTAATGTAGTGTGTATTTATATAGCGCATTTATTGTGTATGCCCGTACACCCAAAGCGCTTGACAATCAAGAGGGGGAGTCTCTCTACACCACCACCAGTGTGCAGCATGCACTTGGATGATGCGACGGCAGCCACAGGACAACAGCACCAGTGCGCTCAACCACACACCAGCTATTGGTGGAGTGGAGAGACAGTGATAGAGCCAGTTCAGTGGATAGAGTTGATTGGGAGACCATGATCTTAAGGGCCGATTTTGGGACTTTTGGACAGGACACCAGGGTTACACTTCTACTCTTTACCTGAAGTACCATGGGATTATTAATGACCACAGAGAGTCAGGATCTTGGTTTCACATCTCATTAAAAAGACGGCGCCTACTGACAGTGTAGTGTCCCCTTCACTATACTGGGGCATTAGGACTCACACAGACCACAGGTTTAGCGCCACCTCTTGGCCTCTCTAACACCACTTCCAACAGCAACCTAGTTTTCCCATGTGGTCTCCCATCCAGGTACTGACCAGGCTCAGCCCTGCTTAGCTTCAGTGAGTAACTGCTCTTGGGCTGCAGGGTGATATGGCTGTGGCCATATCGTATATTGTAGACCAGGGGTGTCAAACTCAATTCCTGGAGGGCCGAAGCCCTGCACAGTTTAGTTCCAACCCTGCTCCAACACACTTACCTGTAGGTTTCAAACAAGCCTGAAGGACTCAATGAGTTTGATCAGGTGTGTTTAATTAGGGTTGGAACTAAACTGTGCAGAGCTGCGGCCCTTTTGGAACTAAGTTTGACACCTGTGCTGTAGACTGTTGCTTTCTTTGTGCTTGTGCTCATATTGGCTTATTGGTTGTGTTAAATTATTACGTGCATCATTCTGAATGATATTCAAATACTCTAGAAACAGCACAAAACTGGTTCAAAAAGTGCTTTATTTGTTATATGCACCATTATAATTATTAATATTCATTAATTATGACATACACTACTGTTAACAAAACATGTAACTAAGATTGTATTTAAAAAAATAATTTTATTGTGCAAAAAATGCATTTAAGTGTGGTTTATTCATAAACTAATTTCGAGAGGATCACGTGCTTGTAATCAACACGGCTGGCTCCTTGTTAGCTCAGTAATCAGCCCTATTAGATGATTACGGAAGCATTATAAATAACCTGAGTTTTTCACTCCAGTTATCTTCGTCTTGAAGCTCCCCCCTTTCCACCCCTACATCCTTCCACTTTGTCTGATCGGGCGACACGGTGGCCCAGTGGCTAGCACTGTTGCCTCACAGCAAGAACACCGCCGGTCCAACCCATCGGGCCGTTTTGTTTTGCTGTGTGGAGTTTACATGTTCTCCCCGTGTTCGCGTGGGTTTTCCCCGGGTTCCCCGGTTTCCTCCCACCGTCCAAAAACATAAACCATAGCCAATCGACTAAACCAAATTATCACCCAATACAATCTTAGTTTACACTTCTCAGGGTGACAAGCAGGGGAGTTCTCGAGACCTACCTGACCTCGAATTCCCCTCTCGCCCTTCTAACGGGAGGGAGCCCCGGGCTCGAGGATATCACGAGCTCAGGGCTCTCTCCCGGGACAGCATGCCAAATACGCTTTATTGATTATCAGCTAAGTGTGAACTCTTGAATTGGTCAAAAGTGATTGTAATTGTGACTGGTGGTGGTGACGACATGGAGACAGGCAAGAAGTTTGAGGGTGCTTTCACACCTACACTTTTGTTTGGGAACCTGTCTCGTTTGCCCAGTTAGCGCGGTTCGTTTGGCATATGTGAAACCACCAATCCCTCTCGGATCTGCGCCAAATCAATCGCTTCGAGATCGCTTGAATGAGGTGGTCTCGGCTCGATTGAAACGAACTCTGGAGCGGATCGATTGCAGTGAGAAAGTGATCCAATCCGAGCGCGGTTATATCACAGTGTTTTATGGATATGTAATAGGCATACGGCTATATGAAGTGAGAATTATGAGTAGGGCGGGAAGTTTCGCGAGTCTCCGGATGCCCGCAAACGAGTGATGGTCTCCCGGTAATCTCGCGCCTCCCTCCCGGTCCTCAAATAGTCTACGTCGCGCACCCTTCTCACCCCTCCCCACCACATCTCTCCTCACTCTTCAGACACCACCAAACACCACCAAACCACCACCTCTCCTGACAGCTGAGCGGGACGCTGCAAAATAAACCCTCAAAGTACAGGCTCAAAGGTCATAACAAAAGGCAGATCAAACAGTGAGAATATGCTTGGTAAGGCAGCAGATACTGGCAATACTTCACAATGATGCTGCGTCCGAAACCGCATACTTCCATACTATATAGTACGCTAAAATCAGTATGCGAGCCGAGTAGTATGTCTGAATTCATAGAATTCGAAAATCAGTATGCGAGAAGTACCTGGATGGCTTACTACTTCCGGCGAGATTCTGGAGTGCGCATCGCATGCATGCTGCGCTATCCCATGATGCCCCGCAAGCGAATTCACGAATGGGAGTAAAGCGACGCAATTGACGCAGGTAGGTCACGTGACCATGACAAAATGGCGAATGTAGTACGTCCGAACTTCATTCATACTTTTCACATTCATACTGTATGGAGCGTACTTTTCTAACGGCCGAGTGGTACGTTTAAATTCAAATGCAGTACCTACTGAGTAGTAGGCGGTTTCGGACGCAACCTGAGTGTTTGGTGTGACCAGTTAATATGGCCACCAAACAGGAAGTAACCAACGAAGAACTGGCTGTCAGAATTCCAGTGTGGGCTCCCTCTGCTGGTTGGATGAGTGGTTGTCAGTCCTGTTTGTTACAGTAATGGCGTAATATGGACTAAAAAAAATTATATTTTAATTAAATAGTGGTCCGTTGTCAATGATTACATGCATCACTCTTAATGAAAATTAGATGCAAATAGTTTAATCTAGAAACAGCACAATTGTTTTAAATGCACTATTATAATTATTATTATTCAATATTTATCACATTCTCTACTTTATAAAACAAATATATATCTATATTTACTAATATATATATATATATTTACTAATACAATAATGTTGTATTCCCAAATACAATGCACAAATGTGAACTTTTACACCATGTTTTCTAATGAAGCTTGAATCAGAAACACTCATAAGCATCTCTTATAGTTATGAAATGAACCTAATGACACTCTGAGATGTTTAATTATCAAATAAAATCAGCATTAAGATGACTCGGTCTTCATAGCGGCTGGAAATACTTTTCAGGCCTAATTATGAGTTTTCAGTCCTAATTAACCTGCATGAACCTGAGCAGATTAACACATATAGTCCATTAACCACTGCAGCAGTGTACAGTAGCTGGCTTTCCTGTGCTAAAGGCACAATATGTAAGATTAAAATATCCTAAAACCACTAGAACAGTCATGTTTATGATTGGTTCCTTTCGTTTTACATGTAATTAGTTATGCTTTATAATTATGACTGAACCCTTGAAGAAAACGTTGATATTATTAGTAAATAGTGTGAAACCTGTTTAATATTCAACTGAAAAATCATTAGTGCGTTGAGTAACAAAAACACCATAATAAATTTTATGTTAGACCCTAAAAATGTATATACTCACTCACTGGCCACTTTATTAGGTACACCTTACTAGTATTGTGTTGGATTCCCCTTTGCCTTCTGAACTGCCTTAATTCTTCGTGGCGTAGATTAAATCCATGATGCCAATCTCCCGTTCCACCACATCCCAAAGCTGCCCTATTGGATTGAGCTCTGGTGACAGTGGAGGCCATTTGAGTACAGTGAACTGATTGTCATGTTCAAGAAACCAGTCTGAGGTGATTCACGCTTTATGACATGGTGTGTTATCCTGCTGGAAGTAGCCATCAGAAGATGGAGACACGGTGCTCATAAAGGGATGGACATGGTCAGCAACAATACTCAGGTAGGCTGTGGCGTTGACACAATGCTCAATTGGTACTAATGAACCCAAAGAAAATCTCCCCCACACCATTACACCACCACCACCAGCCTGAACCGCTGACACAAGGCAGGATGGATCCATGCTTTCATGTTGTTGACGCCAAATTCTGAGCCGAGCATCCGAATGTGTCAGCAGAAATGGAGACTCATCAGAGCAGCAACGTTTCTCCAATCTTCTATTGTCCAGTTTTGGTGAGTCTGTGTGAATTGTAGCCTCAGTTTCCTGTTCTCAGCTGACAGGAGCGGCACCCGGTGTGGTCTTCTGCTGCTGTAGCCCATCCGCCTCAAGGTTGGACGTGTTGTGTGTTCAGAGATGCTCTTCTGCAGAGCTCGGTTGTATCGAGTGCTTATTTGAGTTACTGTTGCCTTTATATCAGCTGGAACCAGTCTGGCCATTCTCCTCTGGCATCAACAAAGTTAGACAGGTGTACCTAATAAAGTGGCCGGTGAGTGTATATACATTAAAAAGTTACTATTAATCACTATATACTGACATCTATACGGTGTGTGTATGTGTGTGTGTGTGTTGCAGGGTGCCTGGAGACATTGATGAAGTAAACGCACTGAAGTTACAGGTGGACCAGTGGAAAGTGCCCACCGGCCTGGAGGACCCACATATTCCAGGTATGCTTTAGTCCGATCCTAGTGATGTAGTTTTATCTGCAGGGCGTTATGGGTAATATTTGCCATTCGTGCATCTTGAGCTGATTATCTTTATGCAATACTGTATAGATGCGATGCACTAATTTTCTTTCACAATAGTAAACACACTAGACTGAAAATACTTTGAAAGAGATTTTTACTTATTAACTTGTGCACTTTGTAATTTTTTTATCATCATTTTTTAAACCTCTTGGGATTTGTAATCTTTTTCAAGAGTGTCATAGATGACATACAGTACAAATTCATTCATTCATTTTCTTGTCGGCTTAGTCCCTTTATTAATCCGGGGTCACCACAGCGGAATGAACCGCCAACTTATCCAGCAAGTTTCTATGCAGCGGATGCCCTTCCAGCTGCAACCCATCTCTGGGAAACATCCACACACATTCATACACTACAGACAATTTGGCCTACCCAATGACTGTAAAAAATATGAACGACGCGACAGCCCCTTTTCCCATTGAACGCCTTGAGGGCAAAACGCCTGCTTGACGGGCACAAACTGTCGCAAAAGACTGCTGAAATTGGAGCCTTGACATGCGCAGAAGGACTGTCTGATGGAGCCAGAGGAGGAGCCGCGAAAATGAGCGGAGTCGAGCTTCCAACCAAACGCTTTATGTAAAATCAACCACGCCCCCCGAACTGCTCAGCATGCGTTTGCTGTCATATCAACACAAATGGATGTAATAACGTTAACAAATATGAGGGTTTTATATATTTAATCGCGCCAGCTCCAACTTACTCGCGGCGTCGCGGGCTGATTCCGGCTCGCTCGGCCGCCGCATCTGGCTCGATTGACTCGGGCTGAAATCGGGCAGTGAGTCCAGGCATCCGGAGTAGGTCCAGCAGAGGTAGTCAGTCTGAGCTCTGAGGGGTAAGTCTCCGGCAGGCGAGAATCTAGCCGGAACTGGCCCGAGTGTATTTTGCTATCTGGGTGGTTAGGCGTGTATCAGCAAACTAATAAAGCTCGAAAAAAGCCCTGAACTTAGCGAATAAACAGTGTTCCACCAGATTATGTATGTCAGAAACTGTAGTTTACTGCTGAACTCATTTTGGTAAAATAACACAGAAATCCAATAATAACACTTCAGTCTCCTGCCGAAGCTCAGACGCGCTGCTTTGAGAAACTGTCAATCACAGCTGTCAATCACGATGACACACCCAGCATTAAATTACTGTAAAAACAAACTGTTTACAAAAATGAAGATCTGCACCTATTTCAGCACAATAACCAGTGCCTTAATCCACCAGAACTATCTTTCAGGACATTTTATTGCAAGTGTAATACATTTTTTTATTTGGACTCAAGTCTCCTTCATTAACACGGAGGAGGCGGGCTTTATGACTTGTACTGCAGCCAGCCCCTAGGGGGCGATCTAACGGCCGAGACCTTCACTCAAACGCAGGCTTGCGGCACACTTGGGCCTACCCAATTCACCTGTACCGCATGTCTTTGGACTGTGGGAGAAACCGGAGCACCCGGAGGAAACCCACGCGAAGGCAGGGAGAACATGCAAACTCCACACAGAAACGCCAACTGAGCCGAGGTTCGAACCAGCGCCCTTCTTGCTGTGAGGCGACAGCACTACCTACTGCGCCACTGCCTCGCCCTACAGTACAAACATATTTTTAAAAACAAATGAAGACATTTAAATCAATACAAAATACAATTAAGCTTGTAAACCATATAATTGTACCACTGATGCATATCCAGGCTTACAAATGATTTTAAAACAAGACATTTGTAATCATAAGATTGTATTTAAGATCAATTTAAAATGATATATTTAATTCATAGAGCTTAACATTAACAGCTAACAAGCACACAGATGTTACTCGTGTGCGAACTCACGTCAAACACGGTAGTAGTTAGTCGAAGGGCTGGCGGCAGGCAAACACAGAATGAATAAGCAGGCATCGGTCAGAGGCTGGCGGCTAGGATCAAAGTCAGGATTCAGGCTGGGTTCGAGACAGGCGGCAGGCAAGACTTGGTCGATGAACAGTTCGGGTTGACAACAGAGAAAGCAGGCAAGCAGTAGAACGCTTAGTAATGTTTGCTGGGGGCAGAACAAGACTTCACAATGAGGTGAGTGTTTGTGCTGCTTATAAAGGTGTGTGTGGTGATTACTGGGATGTGCTGCAGGTGTGTGTGGCAATCAGACTTTGGGAATGACGTAATGTTAGAAGTCCGGTGATGGTGACCTCTGCTGGCCAGCGAGGGGAATGACTGCGACCGAGTCGGTGACAGTTATATTATATTGCGAGTAATTACAAATAAATTGACAAGTAGAACGCCTTATTTTACAATTTTATAAAATGTACTTTGATTTATGAATACGTCTGTGCATTTTATAAACTATTATGTTTTTAATATCATAGCTAATTTCAAATAACTAAGTTCTTTAGTCTTTGCCATGATACATAATATTTTACTAGTTTTTTAGCAAGATACTAGTATTCACCTTAAAGGTGACCTATTATACTTCTTTTACAATAAAGTAGAGAAGTCTCTTATGTGCCTAGAGTGTGTCTGTGTTTGAGTTTGAGCTACGAATAGCACACAGATAATGTTTTCTAACTCTCTGAAACTAGCCCTTTTAGGCTTTGATCCTAATTGGGGTGTGAGTTGTGACTGTCGCTTTAAATTCAAATGAGATTGTGCTCTTTTCAGAAGAGGGCGGAGCTACAAACACCTGTGTGTCAGCATAGTGGCAGATTCAAAACTCCAATACCAGACGGCTGCTTCTCACTCAAGGCTGCTGTTAATTCTAATGAGGGAGGGATGGTCACTAGTGGGCGGGGCTTTTCCCCCTCCCCTCTGATGACACGTACAAAGGAAGAATGTCAATCAAAGTGTCTCTGCAGACTGTTTATATCAAGTCTGATTATACACAATAGAGTTGATCAATTGTATTCATTAGAGGCTGGATATATTCACACACTGCTGACACGCAACTGTGTTTGAGCCCCTTGTAAAAGGGATTTTTGCATAATAGGTGCCCTATAATGTGCAATTTAAAGGCTTAACTAGGGTAAGTAGGTTAACTAGGCAAGTTAGGTTGTTTAAATCATTGGACAACATTGGTTTGTTCTGTAGCCAATCGCAAAAAACAACTGCAAATAATAGTTAATGTGTTAAATGTATTAAAACAGAATTACACAGGTGAGCTAATAATTTAGCTTTCAGCTGTACATAAAGAAATCAAAATATTGTGCAGACCTTTAAAGGGCACCTATTGTGCAAAAATCACTTTTATAAGGGTTTTAAACACAGTTGTGTGTCAGCAGTGTGTGAATAAATCCAGCTACCAATAGCAAACATTAATAATTACATTGTTTTATAGTCAGATTTGATCAAAACAGTGTGCAGAAACACTTGGATTGACATTCTCCCTTTGGACGTGTCATCAGAAGGAGAATGCCCCGCCCACTGGTGACCATATCTCCCTCATTAGCATATAAGCAGGGCTTTACATTAACACCAGCCAACCCGCCAAATGCGGGTAGATTTGGGCGGCGGCGGGTAAGACAGGCACTCCCACTAGCCACTTTGGCTGATTGAAAATAATTTTCCCAGATAATAATTCTTAAAAGCAGAGTTCGACAATAAGGACAATATGCATGCACAGGCGATCGAGAAGCAACACGACTGACAAAAATAATTGCGTTCGCAACTTCGCGCGAGCAAAGCAGGTGAATACCGATTGAGAGGATAATCACTCGCGCTAACAGCTGAGGTGATGCGCGCGACTGTTTATAACGCATGCGCGCTCCCGTTTCCTTTTGTGAAGCAACTGTGTCTAGAAACACAACTGATGCGATCGGTTCTCTTTTAAATAGACTGAACAAAAATAAAGGAACGTGCACCTACCTACAGTCTTGCTGCTTTCAAGAGTTCCAGAGTTGACTTATTGTAAGCAGCGCCAGTTGCTTTCGGTTTAACCTTTCTTTGAACAGATTATTTACGGGTCTATCATTACCCATGCGTGTGTGATCATCCTTTAATTATCACACAGTATGTTTTTACCTGCTTTCTTTTGCATTAATATGCCCTAGTAGCAAAGAATTCTGGCCCAGATTTGGCAAAAAGCTGGCACAGCAGGCATTTATCCAGCACTCGCATACAGCAAACATGGCCCGGGTTTGGCAGAGGTGGCACCGTTTTTAAGGCGGCACACAAGATTTGGGCCAGATGAAAAACGTAGTATTTGGCCCAGATTTAAAAATTTGATAAGTGGGCCATGTGAGTTTGGCCAGTCTTGACCCACATTTAAAATACACTAAAATCATTTTTGAGTAAAGAAAAAAAATTCTACCAATCAGGTCACTTTGAGAAAAAGCGTGCCCATAGTGTGCCTAAAGCGCATCACTCCATGGGTTTATCAATTTCATTGCAATCGTGACACACCAACCTATCTGGCCCAGTTCAGGCCCAGTTGTGAGTTATTAACTTGGCTGAGACTTGGCCCAGATATGGTCCGTGTTTGGCCCTTGTCTGGAAGCCAGATTTGGTCCAGTCATGTACCGTAATTCACTGCGGCATGTGGGCCAAGCAAAACCTGATTGTGTGGGCCAGAGCTGGGCCAGAGAAAGTTTGCTATGTGGGTGGTTTAATTATCATTTTTCACAATAACATTCAGGCACGTGCACACATAGGGCTCAACCTGTGCAGTGCACATGCCCTTTTTAGTCTTGGATATAAAGTGCCCTTCCAAAATGAAATAAAGTGCGGTCTCTGCACGGGCCTGATAACACTGCTTTAATGGGAGAATAACTCCCCATTTATGTGTAGTTAACTGGTGATCTGGGACCTTTAGTCAGTTCACATGAATGTGCATATGTTTTGTTTAATAAAAAGTATAGTATTCAGCTATGTATTGCATGTTTTCACACATTTAAAATTTGTGGCTACAAAATAATTACCTGTTTATTTATGGTGTGGTTGGAGATAAATAGGGTAA